ATTACTATTGTCTTTATAGCTATTATTATTATCATTATGATTATCATCACCACTATTGTCATTAGTGTCAATATTATCATTATATTTTAATAGTATTATTTTATCATTGTTGTTATTATCATTATCATTATTATTATTATTATTATTATTATTATTATTAGTAGTAGTAGTAGTAGTAGTAGTATCCTTATTACTACCGTTTTCGTTATCATTATCATTATCAATGTCATTATTATTGCTATTATTATTATTATCATTATTATTATTTATGTTATCATTACTATTATTCTAATTTTTATTATTGTTATAATCATTATTATTATTGTTATTATTATTAGTAGTAGCAGTAGTATCATTATTATTATTGTTATCGTCACTATTATTAATATTATTACCATTATCATTATTATTGTTGTTATCGTCATTATCATTATTATTACCACTATCATTCTTATTATTATCAAATTCATTACTATCATTATTATCATTATTGTTATTAATATTATCATTATCGTTATCATTATCATTATTACAATTTTCACTCTACAAATTTTATCATTATTTTATCATTATTATCAATATTATCATTATCACTTTTGTTATCATTATCACTATTATCACGACTATTATCATTATTTTGATTTTGTTTATTATTATTATTATAAACATTGTCATTATGTATTAGTATCATCATTAGTATGAGTATAATAATTAGAATTAGTACCATTATTAATACTAGAATAATCATTATCACCTTCATTGTTTTTATTATATATTAGTGTAATAATAATTACGATTATATTTATTATAATAGTAATAACAATTAACTTTGTCAGCATCATTACTTTTATGACCATTATCATGATTAACGTTACTTTGAATATCACAATATCAAAATTATAATATTAAAAAATAAGGAAAAAGGTTATTAAGACTGTAAGTTATAGCATGTCACACAAATGCATTTCATAATTAGATTTGCTAGAGAGAGAGAGAGCGTCAGGGTTTTTGTGTTGCCCTGATTTGGTGGATTATGGAGACACAATTCTGGTTCGGCTGTTTATTGATAGAAGTGGCTGGTAGGCAGCGTGGCGCGGGCTGTGTCTTCTGCTGGTGCAATTGTGGGCAAGGTAGCCCAAAGGGCGCGCCGAGCAGGCGCGCGTGGGGGACCGCCCCCAAGGAGAGGTGTGGTTAGGACCGTGGGCCCTGGTCAACTGTCCTGTAGGTTTCGAGCGCTGGTCGCGGGTCCCTAGCAGTGGAGACGCGGAAAGGTAACCCTTGTTCCTCAGATCGCTCGGCATACGCTACTAACCGTCGCCCCCGACGGGACGGAGCTGGCTTTCTCTGAAAAAAAAAACACACCAGAGGCAGAGACAGGGCGAGAGACAAGAGAGCAAACGGAGGGGGGGGGGGGTTGAGTTATAGCAGGGGCCGTAAGATATAATCAAAATATATCAGATTGCAAAGAATGTTATTACAAATATTTTCATGAATTTTCAATTTTTATTATATTTTTTCAATAATTAATTGTCCAAGGATAGACAGAGGAACATGCATAGAGAGACAGTTGCAATAGTCCGCAAAAACTTGCTTGAGTTGCAATTGCCTCAGATAGCAGGAGATGAAATTCTACAAGAGATAAGCATTGTGCAGAACTACAAGGAAGCAAAAGGTGTCGCAGTCCGCAAGGACTTGTCTTGAACGACTAACTTCCTTGGAGAAAAGAATGAAAATGCAACAATGCAGAGTTCAGAAGTGTGCAGGGCAATAGTTCATACGGTATATGTCTGACTAATAGTTATTGAGTATCTCATTTCATTGAAGTTGTCTATCACACGTCACCAACAGCAATTTGAGGCAAAGCAATAATGAAAACAGGTAATGCAGTCCTCATACTTCGGGAGCGACTCATTACATCAAAATATACTTTCTCAAGACATGTGCAAACGAAAAAAACCGTAATGCACGGTATTTGCGCAAGTCGGTAAGAACAATAACCGCATTGTTAATTCTTGTTTGCAAAATTAAAAACGTTTTTTTTTGCGGGAACAATTTGCGTTGCATGGCCGTGAGTGCGTGACTTAATTTAAATGGGGTGGGGAGTTATTAAAAAATTGAAGTTAGCCACGAGTAAAGAAAATGCACACGAGAAGAAAATAGAATGTTGATAGGATATATTTTAAGTTTAAGTCATTAGTA